CTCCTCTCCTCTCCTCTCCTCTCCTTCCTCCTCCTCTCCTCTCCTCTCCTCTCCTCTCCTCTCATCACAGACTGAGTTTGGCGGAGGGGGAGAAGATAGCGAGGGATTGTCAAAGTTCACTGAGTTTTCATGAATTTTCTCAAGAAAGAGCCCAGCAGATCTGAGACTGGCTCAGCTACATTCACTGATGCCAGATAGCCCATCTGAATGCGAACTAAGCGCCTATATGGAAAACTAGAAGAGACAGCCTCTGAGAATTGTCTCCGATCAGCCAACAGCATGCATACCGTCTCTGCGCCAAAGATGGATTTGTTATTTTTATTTATTTGTTTTTTTATTTACACTGTGAGCTTGCTTTATAAAGATGGCTTCATACACTGAAGCTTCACACAGGCCTTTGCAATAAAGGCAAGAGGAGAAACATGCTTATGCAGAGAACTTGATGTAAATTTTGGAGACAACTCTCATCAAGGCATAAGCTATTTTTAGTTAGCTTTGCAAGATTCCTTCCTTTATTTGGAAATGTTCCTAAATATCAAACACCATCTTGTCTGTACACACACTGAACTCTACCTCAACATCAATTCAACATTACATTTAAATCAGTTGTTACCTGATTTAAACAATATCATGAGTAAACAGTAGCACGATCTGACCACATCCTCAACTTTCAAGCACATTTTGGTCTGCACCAAAAAAAAAAAAAAGTGTTAAGGTTTGATAGCCAGCACTTTATTTTTTATTTTTTTGCTGAGCACTGCAAGGCCATGCAGGGCAGTCATGCTTTTGTTCTGTAAGCACCCCAGAAGCTCTGCACCATCTGGGAACGAGTGGCTTGTGAAAGAGCACTTCAGAGAAAACAGAGTTCCAGATCTTCCCAACAAATCAGAGAGTCAGATATGCAGTCAACTGTCCATGTCTCCAGCCTTTTAACTTGTGCAGTGGCAGCTGAGGCAGCATTACAGGGAAGAGGTGGATCATTCAGAGCCAGAGGGAAGTGCAACCAGAGTAGGGCAGAGTGGATCAATATGAGAGCCACCCAGATTGATACTCCATACTGTCCTTAGCAGCTCCACCCTCCTCCCGCTCTAATGTTACCTCAGGATACTTTCTCCCTGTCAGTAACAAGCCCTTGGCAGACCCTGCAGCCGATAAATAAGCACTTCCGAGTCATTTCAACGCACGCTACACAACAGTTTTCTCATCAGTGACACCGAGTTTCTTGTCTTAGTGGAGATTTAAGAACAGAGTGCATCTTGTTTTAGGCAGCTGCACAGAGAAGCGTCGCTAAAGCAATGATGGTAGTGTAAGGATGTGAATCACCGTGGACGGGCTGACAAGGAAAGCTGGCATACAGCTGAGGAAGAGGAGCGGGATGCAGCGAGCCTGGCCAGGAATCTCTATCTTTTATCCACACTGTCAACTTGGCCTTGCCGGCTATGCTGTGCATACTTAGGCTTTCATCCCCCCAGGGATCCCTCAACCTGACTTCACCAAACTGCTTCAAAGCACAGAGAGGCTGGAGCTAACCCACATAAAGCTGTGTACCTACGGAGCAGCGCAGAATTGCACAGTGCTGCATCCTTCATTAAATCAGATGTGTTTGTTAGAAGATGACCTGATTTAGGTTCTGGGGTTGAGTTAGGCCTAATTGGTGCATCTCGACTAGTGAGCTAAGCAAACTGAGGGAATGTCAGACTTATCAATATGTAATGGTGCCCTACATATTCAAACATTCGAGCGTTGCGTTGTAAAACTGTTTTCTTTCAAGTTTTCTTTCACCTTTTCAGTGTCTACGCAGTTTACCAAAATAAAAGTCTTCAGAGAGTAAAGATTTCAGATGTTACAGATAATGAAAACAGGAGAACTAGGTAGAACAGATAGATGTCCTAGATTACACCAGTTGTACGCATAAATGAAAGAGCAAATATTCATGTGTGCAAACTAGTTTCTTGTTTTTTTTTTAGTAAGTTACAAACAATAACACGAAGGCACAGTTTCTAAGGAACTCAAGGAAGCTGGAACTGGAATCTTTGGTCCTCTCAACATTGCTGGTTCATCAAATTTAATCAAGGCATTGCACACTGATGCACCAACACACACACACACACATACACACACAAAAACACACACACACACACAAAGCACTTCGCTCCTCACGGGACAGGCTTTTAGTGCTCTGTCTCATGCAGTATTTAATTGACCCCACACAGGAAGCCTAGCGGTCCCAAATGCACTCCTTCCCCCCACCGACAGTGAAAGCATGAGCGCCTGCGAGTATGCCCACCACCGCTGCTCTGTCACACAGCTGCACTAAATGCCATTTTCTGCTTTAGTGCAACTCTGACTTTCCACAGTAATGTCAGTGCTGAGGCTGAGGAATCTGGATCCACATCAGATGTGTTCAAAACACTCGAAATGTAGATTAAAAAAAACCCGCCTCCTGCACAGCTGCATACAACAACTCCATTTCTCAAACTTTCAGTCAAAATGAGAGGAGCAGAGTTGAAAGATTTTCCCATTTCCACAAAGTAAACCTAGATCTTTTCACACCATCTCATCAGATACTCCTCAAAAAGCATGAACAAACCCATTGTTATAGGTTTACGGCAGCTATCTTTGCAGAGATTAGATGTAGAAGAGATAGCAGCGTACTTACTCAGATGGAGGTAGGAGAGCACACTCCCCGTCTCTCTCGCTTGCTCTCTCTGCTAGGCAGTCATGGTGTTCTCTCTCTCTTGGGTAACACTGAAGTGTACTGTAGCGTGCTTGTAAGCAGTCTATCCCTCTCTCTTTCTTTACACCCCCCCACCCCTCCTCATCTCCTCTCCACCACTCTCAGTACACAACCCTTTGCTACGTCAGTGAAGCTCTCTCTGCTCCGCATATCATCCTTCCCACCCTCCCCGCTTGCTCTCCTCTCTTCCCTTCATCGCTGCCTCACCTGCCCAATGGGACTCTGTATCGCAAGCGCATCCTGAGTTCATTCAGGACTCTGTCGTGCCAGACCGCCGCGCTGCTAAGGATGACATTAAGTCGGATGGCGTTTGAGTCTTTCAGCAACTATCAGGCTTAAAAGAATGGAAGCTCACAAGACAGGAAGAGGAAAATTTGATGAAAAATTCATCATACTGCAAACCGTTTTGGATTTTAGCCACTTTCCAGCATTCTTACAAAACTTGAAAGTATGCGGGCATCCTGACATTACATCCATCCATGATTGCTGAACATGTCGAAACCAATGTGCTTCAGTATGCTCACAGACAAGTTCTTCTACATGAAATTCAAAGAAACC